CCCAGGGCAGAGTATCAGAGGCACTGTGGATTCTCATATAGAACCAAGCAGAGAGAATGAGTGAAACTCTTTTTGCTTCTGAAAAGTAAAGGTGCCTCATACTTTGTGATGGTGATAGTGAGGAATTCTGTATTAGTTAGGGTTAGATTTAGTTGCATGTAAAAGAAACTCCTTAATAATCAGGAATTTGTTTCTGGGTATACAGAACATAGGGAGTACAGGACTGGGAGAGCAGTGACCTGATCATGAGAAACCCTGGCTCCCTCTGCCTTTCTACTTGGCCTTCCTTTGCAGATTACCTCACGGGCCAATGTGGCAGCCAGGACACCAGGCATTACATTCATATTTTTCCAAGGAGACTTTCCAGAAGTCTCATGCAACATTTCCACTTTTATTTGAATGACCAGATTTTAGTCACATGGCTAAATTTAGCCACCAGGAAACCTGAAAAACATATTTTCCTATCAAATATTCAACTGAGATCCGCAATTTCATCACTAAGGAATAAAGAGAGAATGACTAGTTAGTGGTTGGAAGTATCTATCATAGATCACATAAAAAAATCTATGGTATCCATAGATTTGAGCATTTTATTTTTATTTATCATAGCATAAACAAAATTTCTCCAGACTTGAGAGATTTAAAAATTTAAGAGGGGACCACATTGAAAGTAATAACTCTTATTTTATGGGCTCTTGCTCTTACCAGCCCTTGTATGTTCTAGAATCTTCCATAATGCTCTTGGTATTTCTAGGGATATTTTGTGCTTTTTAATGAATCTAGTCATTCTCCATGGAGCATACTTGGAATACTGGCCCACATGAGAGTAAAACACAATTAAATTCAGGACGGGGGAGAGGGGAGAGTAGGAGGGAGTTTCAGTAGGCTCCCACACATCAGGTATGACGTAGGTGTACAGGACACATCTCCTGGGTGAAGGACTCAACTACAACTGGTACTATACCTTATAAACACAGTGTAGCCTGGCTAGGCACCTGTAGCTCAACGGGCTAAGGTGCCAGCCACATACACCTAAGGTGGAGGGTTCGAATCCAGCCCGGGCCTGCCAAACAACAATGATGGCTGCA